CTTACTTGTCCCCAATGGAGTCGCCAAGCTGTCGGAACCGTCTTTCGGGTGAGCCCGAAATTGGGCTTCGACTTGGATAAAACGAATTGTAGTCGCCATCGATCATTTATTTTAAAACAAATGGGTTGATAGGATACCTTATTTCTTACATGATCTGTGTTTTTCCAAAGATGTGTCGGATTCAGGAGTCGGTTACAGTTAAGGAAGGGTTAGTACCCTTGAACTGCCCTTTCGGTACTGCTTAATTTCCAGTTGTCTTTAGTTAAGAAAGTTGCAAATTAAATAATAAAAGAAAAATAATAAAAATAATAAAAATAATATATACATATAATATAGTGTTTGAAAATAATAATAATGAAAGAATAGTAAATATATACATATAAAATGCTAAAAAAATAAAAAAGTAATAAATCTACCCACTAATATTAATTCACCGAAAACAAAGAAAAGCTTGGTCAGACATAAAGAAAAAAAGAATGAGGCCTAGGGAGATGATAATGTCAAAAGTTGGTAATATATATATAATATAATATGTAATAAAGTAAGTAAAAAACAATAAAAATATATACATATAAAATATTTGGTAAAAACAAAATAATAATAAATAATAAAGTAAAATATATACATATATATAATAGTAAGATATATTATTTAATAAAAAATAAATAAAATAAATAATAAATAATAAAATACATATATATATATAATATTAGGTAAAACAATAAAACAGAGGGTAACATGTATATAGATATATATATATATATTAACGTGTAAGCAATAAAAATAATAAAAATAAAAAAAAATAAAAAATAATAATCAAATAAAAATAATAATAAAAGGGTTAAAGTGTAACAAAAATCAAATATGGGGCCAAATTGGGATGAAAATTGATGTGGAAATTGAATTTGGGGTCAAAATAGAAGTTTTTAAAATCGGAGAGGCCAAAAGAGGAGTTTGCCCTTTTTTAAAGCAAAACACGCGGATCAGAAGCTGTTTGGGTCGAGTTATGGGTCGATCCATGGGTACACTAGATAACTTAATTTTTAAAAAAAACCTCATTTGTTTCATTTTAACCCAAGCTCTCCTCCCCCTATTCCCTTTCTCTCTCAGTTGTTCTTCATCAGGGAAGAACAACCATCGCTGTTTCTAGATTCCGGCCGTTGTGCCGCCTTGCTAGCCGTCGTTGGTTGGCGCCGACCGTCGGTCATCGACGAAAAAATTATATTTTTTTTCCGAAAACTTTTTCGTACGCTCTCTTCAAATATCAAAACAATTTTTCGAAAAAACGCCTCAAGGGGAGTAGATCTAGAAAAAATGTTTCGTACAACCCCCTTTCCGGTCATCAACGAAGCCAATTTTTGGGTGTTATTCGAGGCCACACGAAGACAAAGCAAGCGAAAAAAACATGCAAGAATCATGCAAGGTAAAAAAGAATTCGCCTTTTAATTTATCTTCGAATCGTGTTACAAAAGATTTCAAATTTGTTTTGTATTTCTCTCTATCTTTCGTAGTATCTCTCTGTGTCCATCGTATGTAAATGTTACGCTTATTTATAGAAAAATAAAAACTATTTTTACTCTCCTAATCGAACCTAAAGTCTAATGTTTGTTGCTTGTTGACGTTGATGCCGAGAAAACAGGCGGAGAATGCGGTCATGGGGCTGGAACAGCGTTGTGGAGTAGGCCTGTAAATGAACTGAACGTTCAGTGAACCGTTCATGAACCGTGCGGCGGGAAGTTCGTTTATATTCGTTTATTTATTAAATGAACGAATATGAACAATATTTTGCGTTCGTTTAATTAAATGGACGAACACGAACAAAGGGCTCGTTTTGTTCGTGTTCGTTCGTTCATTTACGTTCGTGAACGTTCGATTATATGTTCGTTCTTTTATGTTTGAATAAAGGGAAAGTTGAATATGTTACGAAGATTATTGAAGTTGTTTGAATTTCAAGAAGATTGTTTTGTCGAACAAATTAACTTTAAGACTTTATTATGTTCATATAGTTTATTTATGATTTATGTATGTTTTTGTCGTATTCGAACAAATTAACTCTGAAGTTGCAGGTTATATTAAAGAATTTTAAGTTGTTATTCTTGTTGTTTACTTTTTTTACATCTATTTGTTGTGTTCGAATAAGTTTGTTTTTTTGTGTTTGTGTTGTTCGTTTTTGTTCGTTTATTGTGTTCGTTTATGTTCGTTTATTTTCGTTCGTTTGTGTTCGTTTACGTCCATTTATGTTCGTTTATCATTTAAGTGAACGAACATGAACAAGCTATATTTCTTAATGAACGAACATGAACAAAAAAAATTTGTTCGTTTATGTTTATGTTCGTTTATTTATTGAATGAACGAACATGAACATACCTCCGTTCGTGTGCGTTCGGTTCATTTACAGGCCTACTGTGTAGGCATGCATCGCTTGTGGAGAAAAGTTTGAAACCCTAATTTGCTCTAGGGTTTCAAACCGGGTCGGTATGGGTTCGGGTCCACTGTTGGGTGCTCCAAACGGGTCGCGGGTTTGTTGTTGGGTCACCGACTATTTGGGTCTTGTGTAATGGCTCTAGGTTACTGAGTGTTGTATCTGGGCTTTTGGGCCACTTATATTTTGAAACTTGTTTGGTTTTTGTTTGCTTGTGGTTGCTAGATTTGTATTTGGGCTATGTAATGGGACGAAATGAGGTGTCTACAGATTGATCGATGATTCAAAAATCTAATTTAACTTAAATTTAAATCGATAGAAGCTTAAATGTTATTAAACTAAAAACTTAAGGAGTGATGATTTACGTGGTCAGTCGCATGCTTTAATTCTCAGGGTTATTATACTTATCTATGTAAATTGATAGAGCCCAGAGGTGTTTATGAATGGAGAGTAAGTTAGATTTATGTCATATGCTAATACAGCTTATGCTTATCTAAGTCTAATTCAATCTGAGATATGAGCCTCAAATTTTATTAAAGTTCAATGACATTTGTAAATAACTAATATAAGATTGTTTTTGCTCTTCAAACAGTTATGATATCTTTAATCTCTATCTATTTGTAAAATTACTTGAATAATAAAATGAGAAAATACTGTTTATATAAGATAAGTAAAATTTGTTTTTTTAAACTAAAATCTTTACTACAATATTAGATAGCAGTCGACATGACTATATAACGATTTTTGAAAGCCGTTAGGATTGCACGACGACTTTTTCATACAAATGACAGAGAAGAAGAAAATTTCGAACAGAAACATCATGTAATTCTGATGATTTCCAAAAGTCACCGTATAATATTGATGACTTTCACCTAGTACTATAGCAAAAATCCAAATTCAAAAAATAGTTTTACGGTAGTTTATATGAATAATGTTTCTCACTCTATTATTTAAATAAAATTAGTTGTTCTCTTCTTCCCTCTTCCTCTTTTTTCTTTAGAGTTTATATCATTTTGTATAGATCCGATCAACCTTTTTTTATTTTGTTTAGCTGACGACGACATTAATTTTGATGCTAGTTGTCGACCGCCGGTTATCTTCTCCTTTTGTTTCTTTTTAAATATTTTAATAAGAATAATTTTGCATTTGTGACACTTCTTTATGGTACTTTTTCTCTTCTTTTGTGACACAATTTCATCTTCTTTCTCGGTCGTGTGACCTTTTTTATTTTATGTTTTCTCAGGATTGGATATGACGACGTTACGATTGATCAAGACAGCGCTTATTTGTAACCATGTTGATATTCCTTGTTATGGACTCTCAGATTAAATTTGGATGCGACTTTGCATTCGCGGATAGTTTATCACGACGCTCAACTCTGATTTGCGGTTCTTAGTGATCTTTCAATAACTTAATCCCCTTTTGTGATTTGCTTGTTGATGTGATTATATTTATTTGTATCTATTTTTTTGTTAAAGTATTTTGGTTGGATTTTTAACATTTTCCATGTATGATCATCATATGATCTAAAGTAGCTAATTTGAAGATGTCCAAATTATGTATTTAGTTTACAAAGATAGTTGTAAATCCTTATTGTAATTTGGAATTATTTTTACTTTTTAAAAATAATAGCGACTTCTATTTAAAAAATAAATAAAATTACCATTTTAAAAATATCTATTTTGTATTCAAGATTTATACTTACTACATATCTGTTTAAAAAATGTGTATTTTAATAATTTATATTCTAGATTTATAACCAACTATATATACTGACCAATACATTCGACATTTAATACAAAATTATCTTGAGCTCTATTCTTTATTCTATTATGCAGTGAGGCAAAGCTGCCTCTGATGTATATTTCATCCATCAGAATCAGGAACATTAGGACATTCAAGTTTCGTTGCAGATTTCCTCCATGACCTTCAACAGTCTTCAATATTTCGCCACCCATCGTTCATAAATTTATCAATACCACAGCATTTTCTTTTTTATGAATAATCCGGAATATATACAAGATAATATCTATTCAACAATAACTCTTAGCCTTTTTACATTGAACGCTCACACCCCTGATATTCATGGTATTCAAACCTAAAACCTCAAGAAATAATAACAATTTCTTTACCCCAATGTCACTTGGTTTGTACACAACATTAACTTCTGTTTATATAACAATGGCCGATTTCAAACTCAGAGTCACCTGGTTATCTATTTCAGTCTGCGTGTTCTCTTTATTTTCGTCAATCATTTCCTTCCATTGCTCACTCATTTTCTTAATATAAAGCAGTTTCTGATCCTAAATTTACTAAACGTTCACCATGAAGGTAATGTCACAGTTTCAAATGGAGCCAATATTGTACTTGACATATTAACAAGTTAAAATGTTAATCCACAAGATACTTATCACATTGTTTTTTCTTTCTTTCTAACAACCATAAATGTCTAACTCATTAATCAACGAATCCGAACCAGATAATACAAAATTTCATTATAAAATTGACTCTTTCAATCTAATTTACTCATTCACAGTGGAGTCATTCGATCTTTAGTCATAAATCTTTGATATAAATGGCAGTAAAGACGGTAATGTTTTTTTACATTAATGAAATAATTGGCTGTGCCTAAGGTATCATCGGCTGAGCTGCCTTAAGTCTATAAAAGAACGCATAGTCTATTCCCTAAAAAGTTGCATTTTTGCTTATATCATGGCATAATAAATATATAGCAGTCCGTCCTAATATAAAGTGTCAAAAAGAGTACAAATTCAGTACCATACATTTTGACTGTGCAATAACTCAACCACAGCAGACACCACTCCCTTTCCTCCAACGGAAATATCAAACCCAGGTTCCTCAATCTTTCTGTTCAAAAGCTTGTCAAGTTCTCCTCGCAGTTTCTGCATGAAAACGATGACGACGACGATGATTATAAGCAAAACAAACAGAGATAACCATGTATGTTTAAAAGTGTTTGATGTACTTTTTTATGCAAAAGAAAAGCGTGCCAGTGATTACCCGTATCAAGTCTAATACACTCTTTGAAGCAGAAAAATGAAGGTACCCTCCAAGCATCTCAATATGCTCTGCTGTTTTGCTAGGAATAAGATTACCGCCGAATAGAAGCAAAGCATAATCAGAGATGTTGGTCGAGTCTCGGACAAATATGCTGGTTGTTTTGACCTTCTCACTGTAAACCATGTAGGGCAATGGGAAGAGATGAACCCCTGCGTTAACGGATGCAGGATGAATGTCGACTTTCCCGACTTCTTTAGTGTAGAATGCTGTACGCTTTCCTCTTCTTTTGCATTGCACAACATTTGGGTAAAGCCCAGCACAAAGGATTGCACATACCATCTCCAAATCATGGCTGTATTGGTTGTAAGCCTGTATAAAAATACACATGGAACTTAATTATAAGCACAATTAGACAGACAGCGTTTTCAAGTTAAAAACTAACACCAAAGACTGATAAAACTAGCAGTATGTGTACAGAATGAATGAAAACCTAGTTATTTTTTTAATTAAAAAAAAACGCCAGATAGAATAAGGTTTGTGCATGGCAATAAGAATAGTTAAGACAACGAGCTTACACTAGCACCCCGTGATTTGTCTACAAATCCTATGTCTGATAACAGGTCAATAAACTGATTTCTCATATCCTCCATCATCTGCAAGGTTACGGGGGATAAAAAGTTTTCCCAACAAAATGCTCTCTCTCTTCCATTACGTTTTGCATCTCTATATCCTTCAAAGGCTTTAAGAACTGCTATATGGTCACTACATGTAAAAAAGTTAATATTTTCCAGTTAGAAACACGATTATAATCAAGTTTATTTTGCAAATCACGGAGAATGGATAACTCAGCAAAGCGACCTAACCTGCAAGAATCATCAGCGAAGGATCTTTTGGCTGCGTCAGCTTCCTCTTTCCTATTTATAGGAAGGACAAATGGGTCACGATGAGCAAGAGCAGCTGCAATTGTCAAGGCAGGATTCAGGCATTGAAAAATGGCTCCCATCAGAAGCATTTTTCCTATGTTTGGGTCCAAAGGTAGAGTGCAAAGATGGCGACCTGCAAAAAGAGCAGTTCAGATAATATTTGACAAACCTTGAGAACAATGATTAAAAAGAGAAAAGATATACCAAGAGGTGTAAGCTCCTCTGTATCATCCAAAGCTCCAATTGTTTTAAGAAGCTCAATTGCATTTTCAACAGAAAGATGATCTGGCGGCTGAAGTGCCTTTTCCAGAAATGATCCCACAGTTCCAAGCTGCAAGCTTTTGATATGAAGGCATAACTCTTGCAATGGTGTTCGGAGAATTTCAGGTAATTGATACTCAAGCATTGCATCGTGAATTAATTTTGGGTACAGCCTATAGCAAACTCCAGGTTGCACACGGCCAGCACGGCCTCGTCTCTATAACAACCACACCAAGTCAGAAAGAAATCTTGGTAACAGATGAAACTAGCCAAAACTTGGAATAAATGTAGAGAATTACCTATCAACCCCTGAACTTGAAAATAAATAAATACCTGACGTGCTGAAGCCTTTGAAATCCATGATGGTAAAAGACAAGCCAGCTTGTTAAGAGCGTCATAACTTGTATCCTTTGCCTTTCCACAGTCTATAACATACACAACATCATCTATGGTAATGCTACTTTCAGCAATATTTGTCGCCAAAACAATTTTTCTGAAAGACGGAGCAGCAAATTCAGAATTCAAGATGAGATAAAAGAGAACCAAAACAAAATGATAAAAAAATGTAGAACAGCACAGGCCATAGTGACCAGTTGGAAGCATACAGCAACGAACGGTATATGGATGTTGCAAAACAGGCAATGGAAACAAGTAGCATAGCAAAAACAGCAGTTAGGCCATTAACTAATTATTCGCCACTTGACAAAGAAAACCCATCTTTAATGACATGAAATTCTAGAATTTGTATTCTGACATTAAAAAATGATAACATATATATTTCGTACAATATTATCTAAGAAGTCATATGAATTTACAAGAATCCAAACTAAAAATATAATGCATCATCCTTGCTCTTCAATCCATCCAACCATGAGAAGAATCTTGGATGCCAATCTCAGTATCTCCTGCATTGCTTTAGGATAAGAATCCTTGCTACAGGTAAGGGCATATTAATGGTTTAATGCTTAGTTCTTTACACGATGATTTGATCATGTCGGATATAGCCATGTACTTTGTATTTAGTATTTTACTTTGTATGAAACTTGATATTTTAGATTTATCTATGTAGAATACAAGATAGCTATCTGTTTAGATAAGAAAGTAAACACCTAGCAGGGCTCTTATGTTGTAAATCCTAGTTGGACTCTACTGTTGTAACCCAGCCTATTTTAATAGGTCTGATTTAGTTGTTTATTTGAATAACAGAGGAATAGCAGAGAAAAACAACTCTGTCCTCTTTTCAGTAAATTCACATGGTATCAGGCTAGTTTCCGATCCTGGAATACTATGGTGTACACACCAACATTTTACTCTGAAATCAGTTCCGAATTGGACCAGCATTCATCACAAAATACCCTCTTCAATTCCTCACTTATTCCTATAGTCTGTCATGCTAATACGGAGGGTGTTTCCACCACCAACAGTGACAACAATCACTTCACTAAGGAGCAGATTGGAGCACTACAAAAGCTTCTTGGGCAGATGTCAATCTGTCATGATCAACATTTTATTTTGATGGCACATCAAGGAATTTTCTCCTTTGCCACTATTGCTGCAAACAAATCTTGGATAGTAGATTCTGGAACATCAGCCCATATGACCGGTGATATTAACGTTCTTCAAAGCTTCAGTCCACAACCTAGTCACTCAACTGTTAGAACAGCATATGACTCTCTCTCCAAAGTAGAAGGAATAAGAACCATTAAATTAACAAAGGACTCACTCTCTCATCTGTCCTTTATAATCCTTAAATTAGCTTGCAATCTCGTTTCTGTTAGTAAGCTATATGGTGAAAACTGTCACTAAATTTCATTCCAATCTTTGCAAATTACAGGCACAAGATTCGGAGAGGGTGATTGCCACTGCTGAGCTGTGTGATGGTCTCTACATCCTAAAAAAGACCTCTCCAACAAGACAAGTTCACACAAGTTGCATTTTAGAGTTTGTTTCTACTTCTTCATTTAGTTCTCTCATTTTTTTTTTATAAGATTTGAAGGCCTCATTAAAAACCTCCTTGATTAATGGAGCTTGTATAGAAGCTCTTTAATCAGCGGAAGGAGGAAAAGAGTGCCTTATAATTTCATTAAAGAAAATAATTATTACAACCTAGGAAAATCAATTCCAAATAACCCTTACAACAATCAACAAACCCCACTGAACAGTAACTAGAAAACCCCACTGAACAGTAACTAGAAAACCCCACTGAACAGTAACTAGAAAACCAAACTGAAAATGCGAACACCACAAAAACCATCCTATACCAGCCTTTTCTAAAGCATCAACATCCATATTAACTGTCTTTGCAACCCATTTAACAACCCCCAAAATTCTAAGATTATCCACTATATCTCTAACAATGAAACCATATACAACTGGACATGAATCAACATTGTTGATCCAGTCTACTGCAACCTTGCTATCACTCTCAACAATCAGCCTATCTTTAACCCTCCCTTGAAAATAGACAGAGAAAGAAATACCCCTTTGAATAGCTTTAAGTTCCTTCAATGTCGGAGGTCACAAACCAGCAGGCTCCTGAAAAGAGACAGAGAAAGAAATACCCTTTGAATAGCTATTAAGAATGGATTGGTTTTTTTCTTTTCTTCCAATTGGGCTAACAAGGGTAGACTTATTTTGGAAAGTGATAGCAAATGTGCAGTGGAATGGATTTTAAAGCTACAACCTGCTCCTACTTTTTTCAGTGATTTGGTGGAGGAAATTGGAGTTCTTGTTACTGCTAAGGGCGTCGTTCTTAGATGGGTTCCTAGGAGTTGCAATATGGACAGGTTAGCTAAGCAGGGGATCAGTTGAGTGTTGCAGGCTTTCTGTTGAGTCTGATGACCTAGCTGAGGATGGGTTAGGCTAAGGGGTCTTTGTTTCCCAATGCTATTTGTATTAATGTCCTGTTTTATTATCGAGGGTTAGAGTGTTATGTATATCTTATGTTATTCAGGGCTAGAATGTATTGTGTATCTTATGTAATTCTGGTCTATTAATAAATTGAGGTACTCTTTTCCTCCCTCAACTAGTTGCCACTTTTCAAGAGTCAACTATGATGGAGGTTTTTAATGAGACCTCCTATTCCTATAAAAAAAATAGCTTTAAGTTCCTTCAATGTCGGAGGTCCCGAACCAGCAGGCTCCTGAAAAGAACCTAGGATTGCACCAGAATGATCCCTCAAAAGACCTCCAAGACCTGATTTCTTCCAATCACTGCTAGTGGCTGCATCCACATTCAATTTGATGAAACCCATAGGGGGAGGTAGCCAAGGGATTATAGAAGACTTCAAGAAATTGTAGGGCGAGTAAGAATCCCCTATTGAAGGATCAGAAATCAAAGAGTCCTTAGGAATAGAAACATCCTTATGCTTTGCTAGAAACCAAGAAGCAAGCCTAACTCTTGTTAAGAAGAATAATTCTGTCTGATCAAGCTTCCCCCTTTTTTTTTTTTGATAGGAATGTAGGCCTCGTTAAAAACCCCCTTCATGATTAATGGAACACTAAGTGTTTCTCAATCAGCGGAAGGAGGAAAAGAGTGCCTTAGGATTAATTAAAAACCACAATATACATAATGTTTAACAACACATAAACACTCCCTTTACATAATCCAACCCAAAGACTACAAAAGCAAATCACAAATGTAAAACTAGCCAATACCAGCTTTGGCTAAACTATCAGCCTCAACATTGGCTGACCTAGCAACCCATCTAATAATACCATTCAACTCCCTTAACTTAGTAACAATATCTTTTACTAAATTAGAGTATACACCGGGACATAGCTCAAAATTCTTGACCCACTCTACTGCAAGCTTACTGTCAGATTCAATCAATAAACGTTCCTTCATCTGCTGATGAAACGGCTCAAAAAAAATTAGGCCCCTCTTAACTGCCAACAACTCAATCAGCGCCGGAGGACCTGGACCAGAAGGCTCTTGAAAAGAGCCCATCACCGAGCCATCCTCATCTCTAAGAATTCCCCCAACACCACTCTTCCTCCAATCACCATTCACTGCTGCATCCACATTAAGTTTAATAAAACCCTTTGGAGGAGGAGACCAAGACACAATTTCAATGATCGAACACCTTGACTTAGAGCAATAATCCCCAATAGTAGGATCAGAGATGAGAGAGTCGTTTAGAATAGAGACATCCTTGGTATTCGTTATGAACCAGGTCGCCAGCCTACATCTTGCCATAAAAAACAGATCGATCTGATCGAGCCTACCCCCATCAAACACAATGTCATTCCTATATTTCCATATAGTCCATAGCACCACACCTGGAATATATGACCAAATTCTAGAATTAGGGACCAAATGCTCCCAAGCTATCAGAAAACTTTGAGCATTGGCCTGCAAAACCGAACTAACACCCCACAATTTCAAAAATTTCATCCACAATGCCCATGCCACAAGGCAAGTAAAAAATAAATGCAAAGAGGATTCAACCTCTTTTTTACAAAGGGGACATGACACATATAACAGCTGAAACCCCTCTCCTTTGTAGTTCCTGTTTTACTGGCAGTCTATGATGCACAACCTGCCACAAAAAGACCTCCACTCTGGGAGGCACCAAACCCCTCCAAATGAATTTCATCCAAAAAGAATCAGCTGACAAAACAGGACTGCAAGCTTTGACACTGGTCTTAACAGAATAGATCCCATCCCCGTTTCCTCTCCAAACCCACCCATCAGACAGATCCTTGGACAGAGGTATATTGTGAATTAAGGTCATCAGATCGCAGAATTGAACCAGTTCCCAGTCACTCAAACTCCTTCTCAATTGAACATGCCAACACCAAACTGAGTACTTGAACTCACCAAACTCTTTTAACTTCCCATTTTTATTTACAGACAGAACAAATAATCTGGGGAAGACCTCTTTAAGAGGGGAAACAGTCGCCCAATTATCAGACCAGAAACTTCTCTCATTTGCAAACCTCCAAGACCATTTCCTAGCAGTGCTCTGTTCATACAAACCAGATTCCGAACTCCCAAGCCTCCCTCATTCTTTGATCTGCAGACATCATCCCATTTAACCCAGTGTATCTTCTTTATACCATTTCTCCCTCCCCATAAAAATTAAACATAATTGAATTGAGAGACTTAAGGATTGAAGTTGGAATCTTGAACATAGACAAAAAAATATGTAGGCAATGAGGATAGAACCGATTTGATCAATGCCAATCTCCCTGCTAATGAAAGAGTAGCAGCCTTCCAACCTGCTAATTTAGTGTGAAAATTCTGCACCACTGGTTTCCAAATAACTGAAGAATTCTTAGTAGCACCTAGTGGGAGGCCTAGATAGTTAGAGGGGAAGTTTCCAACTGTACAACCAATAAAATATGCCCAAATCTTAACCTCCTCTTGGGAAATATTAATCCCGAACAATCTGCTTTTCTTAAGGTTTAGTTGCAGCCCTGACATAACCTCAAATACTAAGCACCCTCTTCACATTCATAATTTGCGTCTTCGAAACTCCACAAAAAATAA